TTTTTCACTTATTTTACTTTTGAAGAGATATTTAATCATTTAGAAAATAGTTGTATTGTTCGTTTATATTATATTAAACCTAAAAAATACAATATATTATATAAAAACTCTCCCCATCCCCTAAATTTCATGGTAAACCTCCACTCCTCCCCTTTATTTCCAAGGTAAGCCTCCACCCCTTCCCTCTACTTCCTCTTGATTTCCAGGTGAACTCCCACCCCTTCCTGTTTGTGTTTGCCGATGAACCACCACCAAACCTGTCCAACCTTAGTCCCAAAACACCATCTCCAAGCAATAGAAAACCTAGTACAAACGAAAAAGAGCACCTCATGGGAATAAACTCCGCATAGAACGGACCACACAACCATCATTGATACACATAGACAACCTACACAAAGATGAACCCTCTGCCTTGATGCTTCTTCACTAAACACCTCCAATCTCCCATACATCGTTCACATATTTAATTGGGTCTTGAGTTGCAGTTATTCAGTTAGAGAAAATAATCGAGATATGGGGTAGTGGTTATGACAGCTTGTGTTATGTGTTAGGCTGTGACGGTGTAAGGAGAACGATATGGGCGAGTTTTGGGAGGCGGGGGTGGTATTTTTACTTCTTCACCCTCATTGAGGGTGATGGCGTTTGGAGAGGGTCGTTAGAAACAAATTCAGGCCGACAAGGGGAAAGTCAGTCTGGAGTGGATCAGTGGGCTAAGTAAAAGACAAGAAAGGGTAAAAAGACGAAGGTGATCTCATTTAACGAACAATTTCTAACAAAGCTAACCAGAGGGACCACTTTCATAGCAAATTACAGATTGTAGTCACCGTTAATTATACTTATTGAAGTTCAAGGACTTTGTTTATAGTTTTGTGTAAACCATAGGTACCAAAATTGTAGTTTACTCAAAAAATTCTATTGGTTCCAAAAAGAGAGAGCCACGTGGCATGTTGGTGAAATCCTGTACATGAATTCATACATGGGTTCAAAAAATTCAAAACTTAAATCCAAAATTCATTTCCCGCTTAACTTCAAACCTTCAACAAAACCAAAAAACCAAGATCTGCCGTCACCTCAATACTCAAATCCTCAACAACCAACTTGATTGCAATCTACAATGTCATCATCTGCGGTACGCCGGGTAAAAGAAAGCGGCGGCGGTGGCGGCGGAGCTAAGGTCACCACCGTCCCGCCAACAAAAACAACCAGAAGCACAACGCCGGTATCAGAAAGATTCATCTGTCGGGGTGGTGATTCCGTCAATATGTCTACCGGAAAAGAAAACGCTAATAGTAGCAGACCCAGTTCCAGGATTCGGGCGGCGGCGAAGACCCAGAAGCCGATTGTTCCTCCGATGGTGCGTGTCGATAAGGAAATCGGGGAACCGCGTGCCAAGTGGTCGACGAATTGCTCCGCTCAGCCGAGAGGTAGAAGCTCAAGTCCTTCTGAGTTTAATAGGTTTACATCTGATGCACGTAAGACTAGGGTTTCTAGGGTTTCAATTGATCGTAACGAGAGAAGTGTTAGCGCTGGTAGGTCTACTAGGGTTTCTGATAGGGTTGGTCAGCAGAATAAAGGGTCTTTCAGAAATTCTAAATTTAGTCAAGTTGTTGATAATGGAGTTACGAATTCAAAACATTCTGTAGTGGGTTTGGAGAAAAGCAATGAAATTCGTAAAGAATCAAAGCCAAAACCGGTAAACACTCAAAACCCTAGGGTTTCTACGGTTTCACCGAAAAGTGGTAGAGAAAGAGATGTCGTATCACGTCCGGAAACTTCGAACACCCAATGTAGTTCAGATTCTCTTGTGAAAGTTTCAGAAAGTGTTAAATTATTCGAGAGATTCAAATCGAAGTCTTGTGTAGGTTTGAGGTCTAGCAATGGAAGTGAAAATGAGGAAATTGGTGTTCGTTCGAGTTTCAGAGACTCTGGTGGGAAGTTTTCGAGTAGAGGGAGTAGTTTGGATGGTTCAAAAGAAAAGGGGGCAAGTGAAGATAGTATAAGTGGGCGGTCGACTGCTAAATACCCAAGTAAACTCCATGGAAAGCTTGCATTTTTAGAAGAAAAGGTCAAGAGGATAGCGTCGGATATCAAGAGAACGAAAGAGATGTTGGATTTAAACAATCCTGATGCATCAAAGGTGATGCTTTCCGACATTCAAGAAACCGTTGCAGGAATAGAGAAGGCAATGGGTGATGTTGTGAATGGCGAGAAAGATAAGAAGGGTTTAGTTAAGGCAAATGAAACCAATAATCTGCAGGTTAATTCGGCAAAGATTAGTCCAACCAAAGAGTCACGTGATACGAAAAGTTTAGACAAGGGACTGAATACCGATGAACTAGAAGCAAGATTCTTTCCTCACCATAAGCTACTTAGAGATCGAACAACACTAAAAGCACCTTCAGTAAGCCATGAAACCCTGAAAACAGAGGTTTCTATGGCTATTTCTGAAACAAAACCAGAGGTTGTTAAATCATCAACTATGGTTGATGAGAACCCTGCTCAACTTTTGATCTCAGATTCTAAAGTTACAACTAGGGGTGGTCTAGAGTTATGTGAAGTTCTAGAAACTGATAGCACAGTTGATTCAAAGGCGAACGATTCTTCAAAGATTTATGCTGGAAAAGGTAATGTGGAAACTATGCTCATAGCTGATGAAACACTTGAAGATTGTGATGAACAAGAAAATAATGCAGTGATGATATTTGAAGAGGAAATTGATGATAGCTGCAATAATCAGTTGAATGAGATCGGGCACAAGACTTGTACAGGTGGATGGTTTGTGTCGGAGGGCGAGTCAGTTCTGCTTGCTCACGATGATGGTTCGTGCACCTTCTATGATGTTGCTAACTCGGAGGTACTAAATGTTGCTCCAGTTTGTGTCATAATTTACCACATGTAACATCTTCCTTTGATTTATTTTCATATGCTGATGTATCATATCGCTTGTAAACAACTAGACATATGAATAACCAAACCAAAAGAACGGTAAATATCCCACTTGCAGGTAGGGTATAGGGGTAAGGAGGTGGGATGTACGTAGACCTGTTATCTCTGGTTGAAAGGGTAGAGCAGTTGTTTTTCGTGATGAAAAGGTTTAGTTAATCATCGGTAATAACATTGTTAAAGTAGGGACCAAACCAAATCAAATTAAATGATCTCGTATATCCCACTTAAGAGTAGGGTCTAATTGTGGTGGTTGGGATGTGCGTAGACATGTCTTTAGCTCCAAAAGTAGGGTAGCTGTTTCCGTGATGAGAAAGTTTAGTCAACCATTGGTCTATATATTATTATTTCACTTAGCGGTCAGCATAAGATGATAAATGTATTTTTATCTGTAAACACTTGCTACAAAACACTTGGTAAACAACCGTTTTCAGGCGGTGCTTAGTGCTTACCCGGACAAGACCTCTTACTTAGACCACAACCTTAGGGGATGTTTGGTTGGTTTTCTGTTAAGTCTTGAACGGATAAAGCTATTTGTGGAGATTAATCTATTTGTATAGATTGAGAACTTTTTGTTTGGGAGGGTTTTTCATAGAGGAAATAAGCAACATGGCTTTCTGCATAAAGCCCCCCTTAGAAACTTACTCTATAAGCCACTTTTTATATCATTAAGCTACTACCAAAACATCATGTATAGCTGACCAAATAAACTGTGAGTCCCATCAAGCTTCTAACAAACATGCGCTTACCTGGGTAGTTCTTACCCAATTTATGTTGGTAAACGACCATAAGATTTTTTGGAATAATATCATGAACGACTTGATCTATAAGCATCACTGTAGACTGATTTGTGTGAGATTGTGTAATGGTGGTGGTTATTTCAGGAGAAATCAATGTACAAGGCTCCAGCCGAAGTTTCGCCTAATATATGGAGAGATTGTTGGATCCTTCGTGCACCCGGTGCAGATGGTTGTTCTGGAAGATATGTCGTGGCTGCATCTGCTGGAAATGGCATGGATTCGGGCTTTTGTTCATGGGACTTTTACACCAAAGAAGTACGGGCATTTCACATCGAGGATGGAGTTACTAATACACGAACAGCACTCGCTCCTTTACCCAACAACGTTTTGAATAGAAGACACGATTTGTCTAATCTTACCCCAGAAAACCGACAGTGGTGGTATAAACCGTGTGGTCCGCTCATCATTTCGACAGCCACTAATCAGAAAGCTGTTCAGATTTACGACATTCGTGATGGAGAGCATATCATGAAGTGGGAGCTGCAGAATCCGGTGCTAGCAATGGAGAACTCAAGCCCGTTGCAATGGAGAAACAGGGGAAAGGTGGTGGTGGCAGCAGCAGAAGGTGTTTCTTTGTGGGACGTTGGCTCTCTCAGCCCTTTGCCGATACTTACTGCTGCTTCTGGTAAAAAAATTTCAGCCCTTCATGTAAATAACACCGATGCTGAGCTCGGTGGAGGCATTCGCCAAAGGCAAGTCCTCTATCGATTCTTTCATATGGCATTTGTTACATTTGTGCATTTTCATCATCATTTGGATTAAATGCATATTGAATCTATTGACTATTTGCAACACAGAGTGAGTTCATCAGAAGCCGAAGGGAACGACGGTGTTTTCTGCACCCCAGATTCCATCAACGTACTAGATTTTCGCCATCCATCTGGGATCGGTCTCAAGATTCCAAAATATGGCACCAATGTACACTCGGTTTTCTCTCGTGGAGACTCCATCTATCTTGGCTGCAGTGGCTCACCGTCTGCTGCTAGAAAACCGACATCTGCTGCCCAAATCCAACACTTTTCTTTGCGGAAACAGAAGCTTTTGAGCACCTATGCGCTGCCTGAATCCAACGCTCACCCACATTACAAAGCCGTAACACAAGTTTGGGGGAATTCGAATCTAGCCATGGGTGTTTGTGGGCTTGGGTTGTTTGTATTTGATGCTTTGAAGGATGATGGGTTGCGTCTGTTAGGAAGTGATCATGGGAAGGTTCGAGAGACCATTGGACCGGATAACTTATACTGTCCCTCGTTCGACTATCTGGGATCGCGTGCGCTGCTTATATCGAGAGATCGGCCTGCAATTTGGAAGTATATGTCGTAGGTACTACTTTTACTCATGCTTTTTGTGGTTTGTGTAATATATTTGTCACCAAGTGTGTGTTTTTTGCTGGTTTGTGTATTGTTTTTAGATTTCTATATGTAATGTGCAAAACCATGAAATTATTTACTTCTACAAGTTTGAGCTTCTGACTTAGGAGCTGTTTGGTTGATTTTCCGTGAACTTCTGTATGAATAAACCTGACAGTGTGAATTAAAATGTCCGTATGTATGGGTTGGGATGGTTTTGTTCCGGTTTGTTTCATAAATGAAAGTGGTGTTTTTTTTAATTGGGAGCGGTAGGTTTGGAAAACTTGGTTTGGTCATATATAGTATTCAGAGTTTGTCTCGATTTGGTATTGCTATCGCGGCCTGCACCAAAACAGAGCTTGACCCTTAGATGTCCAGTCAACTGCTATGCCTCAAAGCATTTCGAGGAGAACCAGCTAAGTAGATTTCAAAATGGATCAAAATATATTGGATTTTGTGTTTATTAGTAAAAAAAATCTTTATATATCTCTATTACTTCATATTTAATTAAAGGGTTGTTATTCATACCCCTTCTCGTTCTATACCATGTTATTTTTTTTATTAACCTGAATATCCAACTCGTTATGCGAGCCGGCTAATCCCAGGACGACCACCTGCTTTGCAGATAGTCCGGAGTCACCACATTTGAATCTCCGTGACCACAAGGAGATAAAATTAAATAACCATTCAAACAAATACCCTACCTCATTCAAATACTGGGTTGAATAAAATTAATCTTAATTAATTAAAAAACCATAATTAGAATATTAATCCATGGATCATAGAATTCGAACAAATTATATATCAACGAATTTCGAATAATTTATTTTTTACTTAAACTTTTTAATGGGTTAATTAATAAAAAAAAGTGTATGATTCAATTGCTTGTTTCCTATTTCCGGCAGCATTGTAAACGCCGGAGACAATTAGCAACTGGTCGGAAGCATATACTTTAGTTTGTCAGCTGCCGGCAGGCCAATATGATCCATATATACATACACACACACACACACACACATATATATATATATATATATATATCATCCTTAACTGGAAATGGACATGTTTCTTGATCAATACTCCATCAGCCATGAACATCAACGGCCACCATCCCCCCCAATCTAAATGGGTTACCGGGCTCTTTGATTGTGGCGGCGATCCAGCCACATGTAACCAACCACCACCCTCTTCCCCTTACTTGCTCTGTGTGATATTCAAATGATAACATGATCAAGATAAGAAAACATAAGATCAGCCAAATCATATGTAGTCATGGAATATGGCCGACGGAAGGGATGTGCCGGAAACTTGGCCCATGTTCTAAGTTACGGCCAAGATCATAAAAATCACATGATTTTAGTCTAAAATCACATATGATTCGACCATTCTCGTGTTTTTCTTAATTTGTCACAATTGCATCATTCATCATGATTAATGAACGTGGACATTCATTATTCATGATGAATGGAGATAACTGGGACATGTGTCGTGCTCATAACCACAGTCGCCTGAATTACATATGATTTTAGTGTAAAAATCATATACGATTCGATCATTTTATTATTCTCTTATTTGATCATTGTTCTCGTTTCACTGACAAAAAGTGAAATGGTTTTGTTGCAGGTTGCATAACATACTGTCTCCCATGCGTGACGTTTGGTCAGATCGCAGAGATGTTGGACGAGGGTCAAAGCTGTAAGTAGAAAACTAACCAACGCTCCCATCGGATAAAGGAGTAGTAATTTTTACGCTTTAAAGAATCTGTTGTAGATGCTTTAATGGTCTCTACGTGGTTTTATACGCAGCGTGCATGGGCCAAGGCTGCGTCTATTGCGTCTTGATGATGTTTACGTGCCATTGGTTGTACGCATGCTTGTTTCGAGAAAGACTCCGAGCCAAATACGGGTTGCCGGCTGATCCCTGTAACGATTGCTGCGTTCACTTCTGTTGTCATGCGTGTGCTCTTTGTCAAGAACATGCCCAACTCAAACACAGAGGCCTCGATCCATCTAAAGGTTCGTTGGTTCAAAGGACTGTAGCAGGATCTCATATATCCGCTCAACTGATTTTCGCAAGTACAATTTTATTTTGGGGATATTAATGGTGCAACTGCTATTTTGAGCGGTGCTCCGAGACATTAGAAAATATATGGAATATCAACCAAAAAAGCAAAAAAGTCCTTGAAATCAACTAAAAACAGAAAAGTCTCTCTAAATCAATCACAAAAACCCATTTTTTGTTTCTCAAAATCAATTACAAAACTTGAAAAATCACTATAAAAAACCCAGAAACTTAATGGATCACTTTACGAGCCTCTGATCCACCTTAAAGTAGAGATGGCCAAAAACAGGTCGAGATTGGGACCAAATTGGAGCCGGTCCTTGAATTGTTTTTTTTTTTTGATTAACCTGGATATCTAACCCGCTATGCGAGCCGACTAATCCCAGGACGACCATCTGCTTGAATTGCTTTTTGTAACCTCTTATGTCAAAAACCCATGGCCCGATCTATAGACTTCATAACCGGTCCTTAAAACTGGTCCCACCCCTGGTCTTATGCCCGTCCCAGGCCAGGTCCATTTTGGCCACCTTTACCTTGAAGGTGCACATGCTCAGTAAAATTTTTGGGTCCGTCATCGTATCCGAGCCGCTTTACGCGTGTCACGTAATGACTAGTCCCCTAAACGACTATGAATGACATGGAGTCATCACAAATAAACCTCCATAACCACAAGAGTTTTTTTTTTTTTTTTATAAACCTGGATATCCAACCCGCTATGTAAGCCGACTAATCCCAGAACGACCACCTGCTTTGCAGATAACCCGGAGCCACAACATTTGAACCTCCGTAGTCACAAGGGGATTTTTATTACTCATTGGATTTGAACCTGAAACCTCCCGGTACTTTTGACCTTTAAAGCCAAACTCAAACCAATTAAACATCACCCTTGTGGTTACTGATATTTAATTTTGGAACCAATTTGACCGGAAAATGAGCATAATGATGGTGTTTGTGTAATTGCAGGTTGGATAGGGCCACCAAATGCTCCTCCACAGATGCCACCAACAATGGAAAGATGAGTTCGAACTCATTGTGATTTGGGCAAAATATTACATCTAATTACTGTTTTATTGAGATTGTAAGCAAGATTGCATTTCAAGTGGTTCTTGTACGATATTGTTTGAAAATTACGGGTTGACGTCGTTTTCTGTGACAAGAATTCGGATTGTAATCGGTTTGATAAACGCTCATTAATTTTCTACCATCATACGGCTTTAGAAAATGACATAATACTGAGTCAAATATATGTGTTAGGGTTATCATCTTAAAGCATGTCTAACCGTTATTTAGAAATTTGGAGATTTAGAAAAAAATTGTTATCCTCTAAAGTAGGGAAGAAAATGAAAAATAATGGAGAAATCTTCAAATTTAAAAGAACAGAAAGAAAATATATCATAAAACATTTAACAAATACTCTTAAAAGCCATTTTTTATGCATGAAGTACTGTTTATTAATGCATATTACTTAAAACTCAAGATTACAAGTAGATTGTGCGCAAGTACAACTTATTAAAACTCCATATCTAAATTCGTGTAACTAACTGCAGATAAATATAATCAAATACAGGATAAACATCGTATTTTAAATATAAATAATCTAAAATATAATTAAGATAATCATTGAGTTTTAACAGAATACTTAATTATTATCTTTATAAAATGTTATATTATTAAACCAAAAATAAATTATTTCGTTATTAATCTTGAGTTAAATTATAATAAAAAAATTAAAGAAATTACATTAAAAAAATGAGAATTTTTAAATAGTTGATTTGATATTAACATTGATATATATTTTATTCAAAAATTTATGATATCTTCAAATTTATATTTTATTCAAAAATAAAATCATTATTGCTTTAAAAACACATAAAATCGTATTATAACATCGATAAAGACAAATTATAAAATATAACATTAAAATCGAAATGTGTCTCGCTGCATTGCGCGAGTACTCTTCCAATATATCATAAAACATTTAACAAATACTCTTAAAAACCATTTTTTATAAAAGAAGTACGGTTTATTGATGAATATTACATAAAATTTGAGATTACAAGTAAATTGTGTATAAATACAACTTATTAAAGCTCTACATTTGAATTCGTGTAACTAACTGCGGATAAACATAATCAAATAGAGGATAAACATAATCAAATAGAGGATAAAAATCTCATTTTAAAATATAAAAAATCTAAAGTATAATTAGGATGATTATCGAGTTCTAATAAAATACTTAACTATTATCTTTATAATAAAATCATATTATTAAATTAAATATAAATTACTTTGTTATTGAACGTAAATTAAATTATAATTAAAAAAATTGAATTAAAAAAATTGAATTAAAAAATTACACAAAAAATGATTAATTTTAAATAGTTAATTTTGATACTAATATCGATATATTTTTGTCAAAATTTTATAATATCTTCAAATTTATATTTTATTCAAAAATAAAAACATCATTGCTTTTTCAAAATCATATAAGACCATATTATGACATCGACTGAGATAAAAAATAAATTGAAATATTAAAATCAAGATGTATCTCGCTGCATTGCACGAGTACCCTTCTAGTTTATCATAAAACATTTAACAAATACTCTTAAAAACCATTTTTATGCATGAAGTACTGTTTATTGATGCATATTGCTTAAAATTCGAGGTTACAAGTAAATTGTGCATAAATACAACTTATTAAAGCTACATGTTTGAATTTGTATAGCTAACTATAGATAAACACCTTATTTAAATATTAAAAGTCTAAAATATAATTAGGATAATCATTGAGTTATACTTAAAATATAATACTTAACTATTATACTTATAAAAATTATATTATTAAACCAAAAATAAATTACTTTGTTATTAAACCTAAATTAAATTATAATAAAAAATTTGAATTAAAAAAATTACATAAAAAACGAGAATTTTTAAATAGTTAATTTGATACTAATATCGATATATTTTTTTTCTTCAAATTTTTATGAATATAAACATTATCATTTTCTCAAAATCACATAAAACCATATTATATTGATAGAGAAAAAAATAAAACGAAACATTATCTTGATGTATCTCGCTGCATTGTGCGAGTATCCTTTTAGAACACTCTAATGTTTATAATATATAGGGTAGTTGAGGGTAATTATGAATAGAAAATACAAATAAAAATAGTAATAGTAATTAAGGTGCCGTTTACCAAACGCTTACCTGGGTAATCACTTACCAAGTCATTTACTTTACCGGATGAATATGACAACGACTAAAAATCTTACCCAGTAAGAGCGAATGCAAGAATCGAGTATTATCCGGTAACTGGGGGCGATGACTCTTACCATGGTTAACGCTTACCAGGATAAATTGTTGCATACGATGCGTTTTAGTGAATAAAATCTTACTCGACAAGTAAGCGGTAGTGTTGAATTTTACCAATAAGTGCTTACCGGGTAAGTGTTTAGGTAAACGGCCCCTAGTTAATGCAATTTAATAAGTCAATTATCACGATAAAAGATATCTTCAATAGATTCTTTAAAATAAAGAAAATGTAGCTGTTATTCTCTATTTTGTTCCAACAGATTTTCTATATTGTTCTTTAAAATACAGAAAACTCCATGTTTATAGAACGCTCTAAAACTTGATGTGTGGAGAGAAACATTATTTTTTTTATTCATATCAGTCAACGAGATTGAATTATTACTACTTTATATAGATTCTTTTTAAAAAAGTGTATTGTGATGATTAATATATAAAATATTTTAATAATATAATGAATGTTGAAATTACCATAAAGAATTTGTTGAAGTTAACTGTAAATCTTTTTGGAGATTTTGATTTTTAATTCTCTGTTCAGATAAATTATGAAAAATCTGTTGAAATGCTCTGATAAACCATCCAACAAATTACATTTTCCAACGTTCTCATTAAATGGGCCTGTTTAGCCTCCATTAGAGGTAAGGTCACCGAGTACCACATCGGTTAAACTTAGAATTTTTGTTCTGATAGATTCTTTAAAGCCTTTTTCAAAATGGAGAAAAAATAACAGTATTTCCAACAACTTCTCCAAAATGAAGAAAATCGGAATTTTAAGCTGACTTTTGCTCTAACAGCTTCCTCAAAACTATCTCAAAAATGGAGAAAGTATGAGAAAAATGGTTTTTATCTCCAAATATGGAGTTAACCTCAACAAATGATTATCAAGTGAGACCACCAATATAAAACTTTAAAAATAAATATTTAGAGAGAAAAATAATATTTTAATATGAAAATTTTAATATTATATCAATGTTGGATTCTCCAAATTGGAAATCTGCTAGAGATAAATGTAATTTTTTTATAGAGATTTTGACTTTTGCTTCTCTATTTTGAAGAAATTTTGGAGAATATGTTGGAGATACTCTAAAAAGGACAGTGAAATTCTCCAAATTTGGAGAATTTTCCAAAAATGTTACTTATAAAGGAAAAATTATTTTTTATTATTTCAACAGTGAGAATCCTTGAAATTAAATGTATATGAGAGATAAATAATATTTTAATAATATAATTTATATTGTAATCTCGAAAATGGAAAAGCTGTTGGAGATGAACATAAAATTTATCTAGAGATTTTCACTTTTGATTTTCCATTTTGGAGGATTTGTGGGAGATGCTGTTAGAGTCTCACATCAGAAGGGCTTTTGGGCTATTCGGTTCGTTTTCTGTTAAGACCTATACGGATATAGTTGTTCGTATGCTAACAAATAAATTGTTTTTCGGTTGTTATGCTGAATAAACCGTTTGAATGATGAAAATGAGTATTTTTTACACATGGTTTACATTGAACATTATAGATCAAATTTCACGAAACAACAATATTTACAGCAAACTTGTATATCAAACAAGAACAAACAAATCTGCAAATCCTAAATAAAAATAATCGCAAATGATGGAGGAGCATGAACCGAAAGAATCCCTAACCACTACAAGACAATAAAAATAATATAACAACTGAGAACGGGATCCAACGATGATGAGGCAGAGGGTAGGGACGACCGACGATGGTGAGGCAAAGGGCAAGATCTAGACCGAGAACGAGGAAGCCACAGATCCAATCGAGAACGATGAGGCAGAGGGCATGGACGGTCTTCTCGACGGAGATAAAGAAGCAACTAAATAGGTATAGAACTAAAAGGATAATGGTAAACCCACCACTAAAACTTCAATTATGAAATTCATAGTAATAGCGATACATGTCCTACCAAGACATTGCTGGAGATCGCCAGATAACGACGTAATAGACCGTCGAAGAACGAGGCTTGGATTGATGGATAATAGAGAGTGCAGATCGATGGAGATAGAGGACCAGGAGAGCAAACATGATGAAGGAGAGAATTGAGATCGAGAGTATAGATAGACGAAAATGAGAGAAGGCGGGAATTGGTAACCCTAGAAACGTGAAAGGGCAAACTCGGAATAAAGGAATGAATAACTAGCTAAGGCCATATGACTTTACTTTTCTGGCCGACGGATTAAGCCATCGACTGACTTAAAATGACAAAAATGAACAACAACCTATGGCTGACCGAATAAGCCATACAGACTTAACAGCCTATTAAGCCATTACTGAACAACGTCTAACAGAGTTCTACATATTCTTGCTTATTCAATTTAGTAAATGGACCATATTTGTTAAATCCGAAGAAAAATTGGGTAGTTTTGTAAAATTTATAAAGTATAAAGGGCAATATAGCAATTTCATTAAACATTAATTCTTTTTGTTTTTCTTTAGACAAAACGAAAACTTTTTCTGTAATTATCTCCCATGACAAAACCCCTCACCTGGTTCCAAACCCTTGTTCTCTCTCTAACCACGGACATCACCGGCGACACACCACCGGAGCTCTGTTTGCGTCGGAAAATATATCGATTTATCCAATAGTCCTTCCGTAGTCGATCGAAGTACCGAAAGTTAGATGGAAACAATGGATGGACCTGTCACGGAAGTTCGAAGCGAAGGAGAACGCGCTGTTATGGAGGAATTAGGGCAAAATGTTGATGAGATTATCGTCAAGGTTGATGAGGTAGGGTTTGTTGTTGAAATTAAAAGTTAAGTGCTTCCGATTGTATAATTGTCCTGTTGTAGGCTATTATATGCTACTCCATTTTCTTATGTTAGATAAGAATGACGCATGATTGCTAATTGATGACGATCGGTTGCTATTCCGATTGTTGAGGAGAAGAGTTATAAATGCGAAACGGCTTTGTCTTTTTGTGCCTGTTAGTACGTGTTTTCATGATAAGACAAATGAATTATAGTATTGATGCGAAATTGGTGGGTTATCGGACGTCATATGCTTCTCCAGGAAGCGAAATCACGCGATACGTTACTGCAAGCCATGCATAGTGGCATCCAGCAAAAAATGTTAAACTAGAATGTTGAAATATAAGACATTATAACATTAAACTCGAGGAAACCCTAGATTTTAGGTCATGAATGAGTGAATTTAGTGTTTTCTTACTAAGTCATGCTTCTTTCTTTAATCTGTCTATTATGATCATGGTCAACAATAGAGAGTGCTTTATTTTATCCTGGATGGAAGCTGTTAAAGCCTTAATGGTTTCTATGCTAGAAGGTTGAACTATATAACAACCAGATATGCTTTCACAAGACATTGAATTATATCCTGAAAATTTATATGGAATTAGGGAACTTGGTATCTTCATCAGGAGCCATTTACGGTAGATCACATTTTATGGACCCGACTTTCGTGCTTGCGAACATATAATCTTGATGTTTTTATCCATGCTATTGCACTAAAAGTTGGTTGTGAATGGGAGCTCCAGCTTTAATAAACAACGGAGTAGCATACCTGTATATCTGTCCCTGCTTAAAAGGATAGCATGTCAAAATACTTGTTCCAACTCTGGCATTCTGGCGACATGGATGGGGATGATTGGTTTAAATACCTGAGAAAGATACACAAATCTACTTATAGCCAACTATTTTGAGTTGACACCTTGATTCTAAACCATGCACCATTGGCCAATAGTCCAACATCATGTTTCTAGTATTTGTATTGCTAGCAATGCTCATACCAATTACTTCACATGTGAATTATCTTTGATGTTCAACTGGACAGAAGTCAACGAACTTGATCATCTTATATATGGTCTAATATTGGGATAGTACAGATCGATTCTATTATCTACTTTCAGATGATTAATCTTTTGATGCTTGATTTATTCCCTATGTAAGAAGTATATTTCTTTACATTGAATTTTAGTTACCTATTTTTGTTGTGTTCCCTGTTATCGTCTTTTGTTAATCATCTTGCACACATTCGTAACTGATATGCATTTTTTATGGTTCATTGTGGTTTGACATGATCTAAGTTATAACTGACTCACAGCTTGAGCAAAGGTTGAACGAAGTTGATCAGTTCTATTCAAAGACAGGTAAAAAGCAGTCAAACACTTCTAAAGCTAGTTCGGTAATGAAAGACAAAGATAAGGATAAACAAATAACTAGCTTTAAAAGGCGGCAGCAGGATGCATCACGCAGAGAAGCGGCTGCTGCAAAGAGAATGCAAGATCTTATGCGTCAATTTGCTGGATTATTACGTCAGCATATCATATATCCTTTGCATCTTCATGTAGAAGTTGGCCATTTAGACTGAACTGACGTAGTTCAATCATTTATGGTTCATGTTCTCTGTTGGTTATTTATCTGGGCTCAATTGGAAGCATTTTAATGACAAAATTTGAAATGTACTATGTTAAAAAGATTGCTGTCTAACCAGTTTTGCTACATCATACTATATACTGAATAGGTATGGTCTAATTCATCTTCACTATTTAATGGGTCCCATCTATATGATTTTAGAAGAGATGAAGATACGATAGTATGACATGTTTACTATACGTGAGTAGATGTGAAGAGGGGACCTACAATTTGGCGGATGGAGGAAAGTGGTATGATAAATGGAACCTAAATTATGTACGACATCTGTGAAATGTAGCCCTTTTAATGTTACAATATTATGATATCTTCATAGAATTGTTTTTACTTAACTGACCATGTGTTCTTGGTCTTTTTTATATATGTCACTATCAGTTACAGTTTAAAAGTTGATAAACTTAGCCTCTTTCTAATTCCCTAATGTGTTGCAATATTTGAACCTCCTTAACTATCATTCGGTTTACGGGGCACAAATGGGCAGGACCATTTATGCAACCCGTGGACGTTGTAGGGCTTGGTTTGCATGATTACTATGAGGTAATTTTTACTTCTGTTTCAGTTCTCTATGATATCATTTCATGTTGACGTATGCCTTCTCTTTCCCATTTCGATAAAGCTTTTGCATTTTTCCTCACTGATAAAAACGAAAAGGTATTCTTCTAAGGTGCATGTATGTACACTAGTTTATACAACTTTTCTAAGCATCTCCTGTTAATTTACGTCATAATTTAAAAGTGATCCTTCATCTTAATGAGTTTTACTTCCTCTTTTGTATGCGCATTGCTCACCTTTAAGTTGGTGTCCGTTTTTAACCTAGGTTATTGAAAAACCAATGGACTTCAGTACAATTAAGAGCAAAATGGAGGCAAAAGATGGCACTGGGTATAAAAATGTCCGAGAAATATGTGCAGATGTCAGATTAATTTTTAAGAATGCAATGAAGTATAATGACGAGAGAGATGATGTTCATGTGATGGCCAAGACTTTACTGGTAAAATTTGAGGAGAAGTGGCTGCAGCTTTTGCCAAAAGTTGACGAAGAGGTAAAATTAAATTAAACCATTTGTACGACTTCAGCATCTGGCTTCTCTAATATTTAGTTGTGTGGCTCCTTTTAGCAAATAAATAGAGTAAAAGTTGTAATTATTGGAAGGTTGCTTGGTGACTTTCAGAACTTTATACTTGCAGGATGAAAGACGGAAAAAGGAGGAAGCAGAGGCACAACTAGATATGCAGCTTGCTCAGGAGGTTACTCATGCGAAAATGGCCAGAGACTTGAGTTCTGAAGTAGGTTAAAGTTTCAGAGCCATCATCCGAATGGATTCTATTATTATTTTTTTGAGTTCCATTTATATGGTTCTACCAGCATACAATCTTAGGGCTCCTGTCTTTGTTTTTTTTCCTATTGCTTCTAGTAATGGCGTTCTTGATGATACAATATTTTGTTCCTTTTCAGCTTGACGAGGTTGAACTGCATCTTGAAAAACTCAGAGAAGTGGCCCTTCGAAATTGCAGGTTTGTCCTTGTACACATCTTTACAACTTCTAAGCATTCTTCCACTCCATTAAACGTCATTCAACTAGTATTGCATTCGTCAATCTTTTACTTTGGAGCGTTTTGATAATTGTTCATATCTTTATTTGTAATTATATTATCCAAATTTGGGACTTGTGAGGTTCTCGTGTCTTTTACTAAGAGCCCATGGAGTTATTTGCACAGGTTTGCTCAGGTGGATTACGGATTTCGTTAAATCATAACTCTTAGGAACTGAAAAAATTCCATGATTTCTATATCATCAAATTAATTGTAGTAAGATTGCGTCAGTTTCTTCTATGTGGCTTTTATAAATATATTTGGTAAAAAAAAAGGCATAAATCAAGGTGTAATTCACCTTATACTCTTTATGCTTGCCTTTATGTGGACTTAAATCTTTTTGCTTTTCTGATCAACATAGACAGCATTTCAAGCACATTTTTAGACGGTCATGGTTCTTTTTTGAAACGTCATCTCAGGTGGCGTTTCGATCCACTTTTTTTCATTTAGCTAAGCAATATTGTCTTGGCTCTTCTTTGCATATCCCATGCCACAACAATCTGGTGAGTAGTGCAACTTCTTGTATTTCCTTATGAACTTGCAAAGGAATTATGGAAGGTTCTAGCATTTTCATTTGACATAGGTAGTTTAGTAATTACCAATCTTGTCCCATCTCTGACTTGTTTTGTTAACCGTGGGTATCTGGGCCAGCTTGCTTGCACCTCGACTAATCCCAGAGGCCGTGAAGAATGGAAAATCCCCAGTGGTCTTGCTGGACTCGAACTGGTGACCTGTTAGGAGAATCCCCAAAACGTTCAAGCCTTATTGCCAGTTGAGCTAACCATCTCTTTGACTTTTGTTCCACCTATTTTGGTGAGACAGGAAAAATAATTTTTGTCCCACTCAGCTCCAAAACATGACAACAAGTTTTTGTACTGTTCTGTCTCATCCATACCAAACGCACCCTAAACACTTTTTGCTAGGGAAACACACATACATGATTAATGTGTTGATGATATATAGGTTTTTTTTATTATTATTGTGGATTTTGAATGGGGGCATATATTTCAGGAAGATGTCGACGGAAGAGAAGAAGGCGCTGATGACAGTTTTGACCCAATTATCTCCAGAAGATCTGAACAAGGCGTTGCTAATCGTCGCCCAGAATAACCCAAACTTTCAAGCAACGGGTCAAGAGGTTGACCTTGACATCGATGCACAGGTCATAATCAACACACAATCAACTTGTTACATATACGGTGTTGGTTTGATTTCACGAACGTCATCACGTATTTCCTTTTATGATGCAGAGCGAGTCGACATTATGGAAGTTAAAGTTCTTTGTGAAGGAGGTGGTTCAGGGGCAAGGAAAGAGTCCAACAAGCATCACCATGAACAACAACAACAACATGAATCAAAATAAACGCAAAAGAGAAGAAGCAAAGGGTACCCAGAAAAGGAACAAAAAGCCTTGGTAAGAAAAAGTAAGAAAAGGCTTTTTGTTTGTTGGTTAAAACTTAAAAACATCTGTGATTATGTGAATAATAATACACCCCGCCTTATTAACGCCATCATTTTTAACCGACTTTTCGTTTTTTCTTTTAAATTCAAACTTGCCATTGATGCTATGGAGATTGTCATATTGCTAGGGTTTTTAGATTCAGAGTGAGCCATTAGAAATAGGAGGATGGTCAACTTACACACACACGCACATATGTGTGTGTGTCGACTTGAAGTTGTGGGGCGCTGGTTAAGGCTTAAAGAATGTAGTGGAAATTTTATCTTTTCCTGATTTGAATCTAGCCGTTGCCAAAGCTTTTATCTTCATGGCTACCCGAGTGATATGTCAAGGCGTGCTAGCTTTAGGGGTTGTTTAACAGTTGCTGAATAATTTAGTGCAGAATGATTAAGAGGCTTTCATGATATAGTGCAAAATGAAATATAATTGTTTGGTAATTGTTTACAATGAAATCATGACGCTTAATGGTTAAGGGAGGTTTAAGATACAAAATCATTCAGAGAGTTTAGAGACATACTTTTTTTTGACAAAAAAAATTCATCTTCTAATGATTCAGATGTTGTCTCTTAATAAAACTATTAAGAGGTAAACAAACAACCCCTTAGACCGGATACCCAAAAAGAAAACGAACAAGAAAATCAATTTGAACCATTAATACTATAGGTGTTAATAATAATAATAATCCATTTTTAGCAAAAACTAACTCACATTTATAAAGACTTCATCTATTTTTTAAATTTCGTAGTTGTTGATTTCTTTCAATTCCCTTTTGAAGCTTCTATAGACATATCAAGCACAAAACCTTCAAACATGAATCAAATAGAAAACTGTTATATCGGTTTGAGTTCTACAAGACAAAGATTTTCCTGGTCATTCTTTAGAGATTTTAGCTCGAAAAGAATATTCAAGATGTGCGTAAATTTTTAATTAAAAAAAGTTGAAAATTATTGGAAATTGATTATTGTTTTTTACATGATATAAACAAACGAGTTTGGTCCCAAAGTAATATATTTTTTGCTTCGAGTCTTTTTAAAAAAAAGGAAAAAGAAATGCATAGATATGTACGATCAAAACATGTCACCATCATATACCGATGCCAAAGTATGGGTTTCGACTTTCGAAGAAAAATATTACGATTTAAAGTTGTAATAAAATAATAATTATCTTCAAATATAAAACTAATTAATTTAAAATAATTGTTGTAGTAATTCGTTTTGAAATCCAGATCCAAATATGGTTTGTGATTTGAACAGAAACTAATCCCCCACACTTTCCACTCTCAACAAATCATATGGAAGATGATGATATTGAATATGATCACATCGTTAGCCAAAAACAAAGGAGAGATTATAAGCAATTACATCTGTATCCATCGACCAAGCTGCGTTGGATTCACAATTCCAGGTATATGAATCCCTCCTCCATCGCTTTTCACCATCATCAAACTTGTTATCTCTTTGTAACTCTCTTTTCCTTTCCTCCATTTCTCTGTTTCTGCTTCAATCCCACTCTGGTTCTGGTTCTGAACAGTACTCTCGAATTTCTGACCTAACAGTGTTCCTTTCGTCAGAAACTCATAGGCCATGTATCCGGCTAACAGTTTGTGGGATGACATTCCTTTCGAAGTTGGTATCGTGGTGGACGCAGTGACTGTTGTTGCTCGTCCTAGCTTCTGTGGCGGTGGCTGTGGTGAACGTATTGCCGGGAAAACTGATTCCCGATCCTTGCGCTTTAATCGTGACGCGCCAGGGTTCATCATTCCATATGACCGTTGCTCATTCATCTTCTCTACAGCTTTCTCTCCTCCAAATCCAGAAAACGTTTTCCGGTGGAACTGCTAAAACCGTCGACCTCCGAGAAACCAACAAAACCAGAAAAACATATGAAAAATTGGCAAGGGCTAAAACGGTAATTACGTTCAGCGTGAGGGCTAAAATCGTCAATACACAAGAGGAGAGAGAGAGATAGATAGAGAGAGAGAGAGAGGTTGTGAATCAAAATCTAATGAATTTTAGGGTTTCAGAGGAATCTGATAGATCCGGTACGCAAGACGCTGTTTTCAAAGGAAGTGATAAACGTCGGAGACTCCGTCTACGGCGGAGAGAGGAATTAGAAGGAGGCGGTGGTAGGGCGGAGATCGGTGGCGGAGAAACTGCGTGAGATTGAGATTGGGGGTTTTTATAGAGACGAAAGAGAAGCATTTCCATTTGTTAGGCGTAAGCTTATATATTTTGACAGATTTAACAAATAGCCTGAGTTTTGTGTGAAATTACGAGATGGTGCCATTATCGAGGAGCGGTTTTTGGATTTGAAAGGGCATAGAAGTAATTATTGGATAAAGAAAAAGGTAAAGTGTAGGTGAAGACTGAAGAGTTGCGTTTGTATGTATGCAAGTATTTATACATTTATTCCAAATTCAAATAAAAACAAGGATAATTACGTCATTTTAGTAATTTATCTGATTACTCTCTCTATATATAATGCATTTAAAAAATAAGTGTCTTTATTATTATTTTAATTTATTTTAAAATAAGAATTTATTTTTAAAAAAATGATTTTTTATTCTATAAATATATTTACTTATTTAATTATTTTTTAAAAATTCTAAAAATCTTTAGTCGGTCGTGCTCTTTTATAATTTCTAAGCATATTATCGATTTATCAATGTTGTAAATCGATTGAATATATATATATATATATATATATATTGCATTATAATGAAACCCGACCGACTTCAACGGCAAACCTGATCAACCCGAACCCAACCGACCTCAACCGCAAACCTGTTCAACCCGAACCTGAAGCAATCTGAAATCCGAAACCCAAAAATCAGGGATTGATTTCCATGTCTGGAATCCGATTGGATTTTGATTTGCGCACCCGAACCCGTCCGCCCCACCCGATGTACACCCCTAGTAGGAATTTATATGTAATATGTTTATTTGTTTGGTCTATAGAATTTAATTTATCTATATTATATTATAATACATTTGACAAAAACTTTTAAAAACCATTTTTTATACATTGAGTACTATTTATTGATGCACATTACTTAAAATTCAAGATTATATAAGTACAACTTATTAAAGCTCTATGTTTGAATTCATGTAACTAATTGAAAATAAACATCTTATTTTAAATATAAAAAATCTAAAATATAATAAGCATAATCATTGAGTTTTAATATAATAGTTAATTATTATTTTTATAAAAAATTACATTATTATGTCAAAAATAAATTAGTTCGTTATTAATCCTAAATTAAATTATAATAAAAAGTATTAAATTAAAGAAATTATACAAAAAACTGAGAACTTTTACAGAGTTAATACTAATTACGATATATTTTTTCAAAATTTTATGATATTTTAAAATTTATATTTTATTCAAAAATAAAAATGTTATCGTTTTTCAAAACCATATAAAACCATATTATAACATCTACGAAGACAAATTATAAAACAAAATATTAAAATCGAGATATATCTTATTACATTGTGCGAATACCTTTCTAGTTAGTTTAAATAAAGATAATTAAAATACCAATTTCTTAAATTACAAATAATAATAAAATTAACCATTTAAAATGGAAAAAACATGTAAAAGGATATTATCTATTATATTATGGTATATATGATTTATAAATATATATTATATAACATATATCTATCATATAAATATATAATATATTACATATATTCTTTATGATATATACATAGGGTTGGGTTCACGTGAGACCAAGGGTTTTTCGTGAGACCCGTAAGACCAATTTATGTTCACTGATCAAATTTATAAGCTTATGATCTAATGGTCTAAAGTTGTTCGGTGGCAATTTTGTGATTAATGAGAAGTCTCGTGGCAATTTTGTGATTATGAATATTCAAATTGTAGATCTAATCTAATGGTTGAGAATTGGTCTTACGGGTCTCACGAAAAACTCTTGGTCTCACATTATCCCAATTTATATATATATATAAAGTAATAATAGTTACCCTCGGTAAAATTATTATGCTTATTTAGGGTTTAAATAATCACAACAAAAAGGATTATTTTAAAGATAAATTGGTGGTATTTGTAGGTAATAATTTCAACAATATATAAAAAATAGTTTTTTTTAATTACTTGATTCATATTATGGGTAACATATTTTAACTTGATTCATATTATGGGTAATGTACTTTAAAACTTTCATTTTGGTATTTAAGATGTAAAGTTTTAAACATTTAAATACCCGGGTAATTGGTTGAAACATTAATCGATTATCATGCTGATGTTGCGAGTGATGTGATATCCAACTCAGTACTATTTACTGATGTGATGATGATGACACAAAATCATTATGGGAAGATGAAATTTTGGATTTATTGTGAATCACTATATGATGCATTCATTTGAGAAAGATAGTTGACCAACCTTAGGGGATTGATATTTGGTTGATTCATGTATTGAGAAGACAAAAAATGGGTTTTGATGATAATACCTAACCATTAGGTAGGGGTATATTTAGTAATGTAGAATGATTAAGAGGCTCTCATGATATAATACAAAATGAAATATAATTGTTTGTTAATTATGCACAATGAAATTAGGGCTCTTAATGGTTAAGGAAGATTCAACATACAAAATCATTCAGAGGGTTTTAGAACCATTAAGAGACAATTTTTTTTTTCCCAAACAAGATTCACCTGTTAATGATTCAGAAGTTGCCTTTTAATGGAACTATTAAGAGGAAAACAAATAACCCCTTAGTTTGTATTCATTTGAGAAAGAAAATGTAAACTATGAAGGGTTTTTAACTCGAATAGTATTTTGTCAAAAAAGTATTACAAAAATAGCCTAAAAGTATATTTTTACAAAAATAGCCTAAAAGTATATTTTTACAAAAATAGCTACAATTCCTCCTTTCTTCCTAAAAAATGCTAAATGGCCTATCTAAGAATTGCGATTTTGACTGGTCAAGCGAAAATAGATGAGTGGTTTTGTAACTTTTATAAATAGACGACAAACAAGTGCATATGTGAACCCATAAGTGCATATGTAATCCTATAGTTCATATGTGAATCAATTAGTTAGTTCATATGTGAATTACACGAGTTCACATATGAACAT